TCATGAGTGGTTTCCACTAGGGACGCCGTGAGCTCCGTATCTCTTGCACATACTCGTGCAGTTCGCGTCTTCTGTTTACACGCGAGGAAGCGCGACGCTGCGGTACTCGTAGTTCGCCGGAGGAACGCGGCTCGGAGCTGTTCGCACAGCTGAGCCAGGATGTGAAACATCCAGGGGGATGTCGCTTCCCGAGTGTACACCCAACTCTTAGCACGACCGCTAAGGTTGGAGAGTGCAAAAGCAACACGCAGTTGCTCGGTCGAGATCAGAGCCGCGTCCATCGCGAGCTCTACTTCTCGGACCCAGAAGTGAAGGTTATCGCCTTCCTTCCCTTCATACGGCTTTACCTTCAGCCGTATTGGCTTCGGGTGAGGCGGGTTTGCTTCCGCCGCCGGAGCCTGCAGGTTCTCCCGCACATGCGCGATGAGGCCCTGCTCGTACGCGTCGAATGCATTGACGCGCTCGAGCTGCTCAGCCGGTGTTGATACCACCAGGCTCTGCAGGGCCTCCATCCCGAAGATGCCTGCCATCTTCCGAACCGACTCGAACTGAGAGTGCGTTTCATATGGGAGAAGTTCGTTTCCTATCCATGGCAACGAACTTCGGGGTTTCAGGTAGTCTACCCGCGGGGGCGGGAGGGTGTGACTACAAGTGCTACCAAGTGTGACGGGGTCACACAGCACCTTGCGCTAGAGGAAGTTATCTTCCGAGAGTATACAAACTCTCAGTGAACGGCAGTTCACAGGTCCCCTCTTTAATTAAAGAGAGCGAAGTGACCTAAATAAGGTAGATTGTAAACTGAGTATATTTATAGGTAGGTTAAGTTTGAGGTTAATACAAACTATCAGTTACCTATAGAAATGCAATGTCATTTAACCAATGGTTGGTTTTGAATGACCTTGGTACCTTGTACCAAATATCCCGGAGTATGACATGTCATACTCCTGAAGTGTGAAGTGTCACACTTCATGTAACCAGGGTACACTTAGTGCTACGTACCCCGTTACAGAGCAGATAAGCTCGAACAGCCAGTACCGGGACTGCAGCTGGTTTTGATCTTTGACAGACCCACCTGCCACAATTTCACAGCCTGTAACGTTGCCGAATGCGTCGTACAGATGATTGAAGCGAGTCCTGCGATTCACAAGAGCAAGTGTCAGAAACGAAATCCTAAAAAAATAAATACAAATACGCATTTACAAATGCGCCATACCAGTGAAACGCGTCGTAGAAATACTCGTGGGGTTCCATCGCCTTCTCGATCTCAGGAGCTGGAATTGTTCGACTGCACATCGTGTAACCCATCGGTGTTTGCAGGCGGAAAATAATCTGGATCGAGAAAAATGTCATCGGCATCTTCGGGATCACATGATCTCTGCGTATAATAATCAAATTGTCGTTCAAAACTTGCAGCACCTCGAACCGCGTACGAACCGATCGATCGAACGACATTACCGCCATTTTGTCACCATTCGAAAAGATTTTCCACGTCTGCGAAAGCAGATTGTCAGCGCTTTCGAGAGGGAATTTCTTTGTAAAGCAAAACTGAAGAGCCTGTACCACCTTGCGCTTATCTGTCCAGCCCATGAAACTCGCCCCGGTGGATACAAAATTGTCTGCTGCAAGGAACCGCTCGATCTCCTGATAGGCCGCGCGGACGATGGCAAAGCACTCGTCTGTTGTATGTTGTCGAAATGCCACGGACAAGGACGCACTTGGCGGAATTCCGCTGTTCCAAACCGCGTCCCGTCCATCTGATTGGCTTTGCAGAGTCTGCTGAAATTTCTCGTGAGTCAGAAGCAGTTCACGGAGAGCAACTCGGTCCTCTTCAAGTGCGTGAGCAACCAGCGACAACTCGGAGTATTCGCGCTGCAACTCGTCCATCGAAATCGAAGAAAAGCGTGATCTACCGTTGGAACTCGTCGCTTCTCTTCGTCTGGCCATCTCTGTGTACACGTCTTCAAGCTGCTTGACCTCGTGTCTCATCCTCTTGAGCATTTCCTGTCTCCTCTGCCTCGACTTCTTCTCAATCGCGGAGCGTCGCGCTCGTTTCGCTTCCGTCGAGTCTTTGAGTGTTGCGGGGTTCTTGATACTTGGACTGATACCGCCGACACCCGACGACGTCGACGGTGGTGGCGTTGCCATCCTCAGACTCGTTAATTCCTCGTCTTTGATCCAGTCCGGACGTGTGGTTACTATCGGCTCGGCGCTTTTATCCGTCTCGGAATTGTCCGCGAATTAACGCGATTCATTGTCGGAGTCAGCGGCAACATCATGAGATCCAAGTCTTCCAGCAAGTTGGCGTTTATCTCCATTTGTGTGGCGGTCTTGGTGGGAGCAAAAGGTCGAAAATAAACGACTGACGCGACCGACCCCACTTCGTTCTGACCCCAATGTAAATATGGAAAATTGTGCATGCTTTACCGTCAAGTAAACTTCATAATGCTAGATTTTTAGAAAACCTTTTTGTATCTTTCAAATTCTAATTTATGGAAACCATAATTTAGATTTGAAACCAAGGTTTTATTAATAATTAAAACTAATATTATACGTGTAGCAAAATAAATGTATCTTTGCTAAAGCCTGTAATGGATACCGCGATCACCGCTGTGTTTGCGCCTACCACGCACGAAGATGTGACGTCCGCTGTCATCTCAGACCTCGTATCGCTCGCGCGCAGCTCCGAGAACCGCTGTCCGCACGCAGACGCGCTGGCACGCGCTCTGGCTGTTGTGTCTCAATGCTACAGCGTCCCGGTGCCTTCGAGTGCAGCGTCGGGCATCCCGAAGGCGTTGACGGACGTTTGTGACTTGCTACAGCGCCACCGACTTTATGCAAATGATAACACGCCGTCTGTGTATACGCCCGAGCAGTGCGTAGCGATCGAGAATGGATTGCGGTTGCTGTGGACGCACGTGACGACGTATCAGCTACACGCTGCACTGATTGACGTGGTGCGCATCATCGACTTCATGCCGCGTGCTGTGGCCTTCTGGAAGCAGATGAAGAAGCGGACGGTGCGTGAAATTATTCAAAGAGGACCCATGCAGTGGATACTGTCGCGTGCGCAGAGAATCACGGTCGGAGAGAGGATCCGAAGCCTGCAAGAGACACTGGAGGCACATTTGGTACGGCTTTCTGTTCGTGACGAAGCGTGATAACGTATAGAAATAACGAGCGATTGTGCTGTCATACAGAGGAAGATTGGAATGCTGAAGGAGCTGACGACAAGGTGTTCGAGTACATTTGCGGACTACGAGCAATTGGCGGAGAGGATGAAGGAGGGCATGGCAATGTTAGAGTTTGTGTACAGCACCAACGGCATTTGTCCTCCTCGTAAAGGACACGGAGCTTTCAAGGCCCAAGACCCCATTCTCTTCACTGCATTTTACTTTGGTGCGTTTGGAACGTGCTTGGCCATACGTGGAAAGAAGTGTACACTAACAAAAGAAACTGCTGCTGACAGATGCCAACATCTTCGAGAAAGGGTGCAATGGGATAACTACCGGCGACGACGTAATGAGCTCGCTGCGTCGAGTAGAGAGAAACGTGGCTGCGTTCCGCTCTGCACAGACGCAGTTTTCTCGGTGTTTCCAAGCAGCTATGGCGCCGTGCCGTCCTCCGTCGAAGATTCGTCAACGTTGGCTTCAGGTCGCAGCTGTGGCGATCTGCCTCACTGCTGGAGGCTTCTGGGTGGTGAATAACCAGAAAGGGTTCCAGGCTGGCATTGTTGCGATGCGTGCGGCGCTGCAAGAGTTCTTCAACGAACACATGATTGAGCCTCTCCAAGCTATCTTCGAAGAAGTGGTGCTGAACCAGAAGCCAGAGATCCAGGACGCCATGGCGCTACTAGACACGAAGGAGAGTCTGCGTCGCATGTTGTCGGATTTCGTCAAGGACACGAACCCCAAGGTGCCATCTGCAGAGATGAAGCGCATCATGGACGAGATGGACATGTCGGTCGTGTCGCTGCAGTACGAGAAGCAGCTCGCTTCTGCCGTCAAGAACCTTATGACGGGAGACATCGTTCGCATGCTTCTGATTCAAGTGCAGTTCATCAAGAAGGAGCTGATGGTGGCCATGGGAGCCATCGACGAGTTGATGCACGCCAACCAGCTCAACATGCAGATGATGGCTACAGTCCCAACCTTCCTCGTCTTCGGTGGTTTGTACAAGCTGGTTACCTCGGCCTTCCACATGGTCTACAAGCGTATGAGTGATCGTCTGTTCTACGACTCCCACGAGATTGCTGGCTTCCTGCGTAACAACTTGCGCGACATCGAGCGTCTTCTGAACAAGCAGAACCGCGGCTCTGGCGTCAGTGATGAGGCGGTGCTGGGCGTCCGCGACCTTGGCTTCCTCATCCTGTTGCTGCATCAATTGCGTGATCTGTTTGAAGCCTACCGCGCACTGTTCCAAGAAGAGGAACAAGAGCGGTTTGAAGAGGATCTGGACGACCTCATTGGAGAAGGTCTGCTGGTCTCGCAGCAGTTGGCTGTCATCCAGCGCATGTACCATTCCCATCCGTTCCTGTACAGTACAAAGGCCAACAAGACGCGCTGGATTCTGGACTAAAGAGAGCAATCAAGCAGCTTAGCGTATTAGCATGACATCGAACAAATCTAGCTGAGCTGGTAATCCTGCGGCGAATAATACTCAGCGAGCAGACGATAGATGTAGGACGGCTGGTGAGCGCCTGTGTTAGTGATGAAAATCCTCACACACTCAGGTGGCACGTAGTCGTACGCCGGGTTCAATACCTCCAACTAGTAAACAAAGTAGAGCGAAACAACGTCAGTGAAGCAAGCCATCAACCACAGCAAGCAAGAGCAATTCGTACGTTGTCCACAGTGTCCTCGTAGTTGTAGATGCTAGACGGAGCCAGAAGTTCGCTCAGAACGTCGAGGTCGTGAGCGTACAGCGGAGACAATTTGATGAGACCAGCCACACAGACGACAGGCACCGAGCACTTCTTGGCAGCCAGAGCGATGTTCTGCAGGCCACTCTGCGCGATAAGACCGCCGTTGGCCACCACAGCTGCAGCTGGCACCACCACCTTGTTCACACGCGCCATCAAGGCGAAGACAGCGCTGTCCGGGATAACTGTTACGTGGATGCCACTCTCCGCCAGAGCATGTGCCATGTGCTGACCGTTCAGCGAAGGCGCAGACTCCACCACGATCACCTTGAACGAGCGCTTCTTAGCTGCTGTCTTCAGGAAGGCCTCCACCGACAGTGACTGTCCGAACGTCAGGATCACCTCACTGTTTATCCGATAAAATGAATATCAGCATTAGCACGTCGTTGTACGGGCTTGTTTCCAGCTATTACGTACTCTGTGTGAATGTATTCCATGGCCTGGTCTGCAATGTTGACGTGTAGACTGTCGATCTCATCGACGAGCTCAGCGATGCCTTCCATCACAGACTGTAATTGCAGAAAACGTCAATATTAATCGGAGAATCTCCCAATTAAACACCAAACTCACCAGCTTGAGGTCCGTAATGGGGATCGAGAGGTCCGTGTCGGTACCGGGCGTCAAGATCGTGCCCAATGAGCGCGACAAATTGTTATTACGGCTCGTAGGCGGGCCGGACACGGGCGCCACTGCGCTGCCATTAGCCGCATCCGCCGACGACAGCTTAAGTGCGTTCGAGTGCTCCTCACGAATGATGTACAGCACGCGACGCACCACGTTGCCGATAGCTAGCTCGTGAGCGTGCGCCTTGGTGAGCATGTGACCGAGTTGACGAATCTTCTCCAAAATTTCCCCAGCTGTCGACCACTCCACCGTCTCCAGCTGAAGCAGCGTAATATAATACTCGTCAGAGCGTATACTTTACTCCCCATTGTCATCATGAATACACACCACTTTGCTCAACACGCTGGTGGTCATCTTGGCCGTCTCGTACGATCCATGCAGCTGTCTGTATATACACTTAGTTCCTGCGTCCTTCACCCCACTACAGCGCATGCAAGCGACACGAACCTGCGCTTCAGACTCAGCACCAGCTCGTCCACGAGTTCGCGCACCGCAGGCCACTCGTCCAGCCATTCCTCGAGCTCCTTAGTCGGCGCAGCCATTTTGACAATATTTTTCCTTTGTGGTCCACCAGAGTGCGGAATAACAAATAGTAGACCGTCCTCTATTCGGCGCTATTGTTTTCTTGAAACGGAATATTCCACATTAGAGAATATTAGGACTAACAGCGACATGGTGCTGGGGCTGCTACTCCGCGATGAAGAAGAGCGGCGTCTGTCGTTCGACTTCGAGATGCTGCTGCCAGAAGACGGTGACGACCGTATGGATAGTGGAGAGCACCGGAACGGCGCCGTGGTGGGCGTAGGCGGCGCTACGTTTGGCCACCAAGCAGCCAAGAAAGATTTCAAGCGCGGCACCGTCGTGTGTCGCCATTGGCTGCGCGCGCTGTGTATGAAGGGCGACAACTGCGAGTTCTTGCACCAGTACGATATGTCCAAGATGCCAGAATGTCGCTGGGGAATGGAGTGCCAGGTGCCCGAGTGTCCTTTCAGACACGTCCCCGACGAGGAGCGCGTCGAATGCGCCTTCTACAAACAGGGCTTCTGCTCGCACGGCTCCAGTTGCCGCTACAGACACATCAAGTTGGCCAGAGAGGAATGTCCCGAAACGGCAGACTTTGCTCTGCAGGCCAAAGTGGCAGACGAAGAGAACGTCAAGCGCAGAAAAGCTCAGCCAGTCAACGAGTTCTTCAAGATCGCGATCTGCAAACATTGGGAGAAAATGGGTTCGTGTCCTTTCGGTGACGAGTGCCACTTCGCTCATGGAGAGACGGAGCTCCGGCCGTTTCCTAAGGGTGAAAAGGAGGAGAAAGAGGCGAGAGCAGGTCGACCTGGAGGCCATCAAGGACCCGCGTTTAATGGTGGAGATCGACCGCACCAGGGCCCACCGCCAGGTCCACAGCTGCCGGATGATGGCAAGATGGCCAAGTATTTCCTGCTGCAGTCGGCTAGCTACTTGAATCTGGCGCATTCCGTGCATCATGAACGCTGGGCTGTGCCTCCGGCTGTGTTGCAGCAGATTAAAATGGCGTCGGAAACGTCGGATGAGGTGTTTTTATTCTTTGCAGTTGGACCAAGCAAGCATTATCAGGGTGTGGCGCGTTTAGTGAATGGTGCGATGTCAAGTGCTGATGCATCAGCTGGAGAAGATCTCGCTGCAGGTGTTGTACCCTACGAGGCGGACGGTAAAGCGGAGTGGGCTGGCTCATTTGGTATCGAATGGCTTCGTATCTGCGAATGTCCATGGGAGCGACTCGCCCAGTTTGAAAACAAGCAGCTGGCTGTTTCGGAATGGTACGAGGGTGTTGTAGGAGGGCATTCTATGGTGGTCATGATGGTTCTAATGGTGATTATCTCTGTTGTTGTATATTACAGTCCGAATGGCCAGGAACTTGATGCTGAAACAGGTCACGCATTAGTGCGCTTGTTGTTCAATCAGCCTCAGATTCAGCTCCATTATCGATCCGTGGAGGACGAATCGAAGCTTCCTGGAGGCGCAGAAGAGCTCGCTACGCGACGACGGGAAGCGGCAGAGAGTTTGTTTGGCGCTCCTGCTGGACCTGGATTCGGTGGGCCGGCGCCAAGGTGGCAACCTTCACAGCCAGGATTCGTGTTCGCATGCACCACACAGACGATCGACGAATGCTTTGGTCGCATGCTGTTTGGACTTGCACAGGAACACGAGGGACTAGCACAGCAGCATGTGACTCCTGGCACTCCGCTATTCCTGCTTAATCAGTCGGACCAACACCTGTTGGGCATCTTCGAAGCTGTGTCTCCTGCCATCGTCAATATGATGCCTGGTGCATTTTGCCATGGACCGAACATGCCGTCACCGTTCCCCGTTCAAACGCGCTTTGCTGTCATGTTAAACGCTCCAGCACTACCCACGTCGGACCCGCAGATTAAGCGAGTTATTGGCGACAACGGAGTGGATGTCGGTCCGCTCTCGCTGCAAGCGACTCAGCAATTGGCAGACGTGTTTGCTGAGCGTAGCGGTGCTGCGTTCCCGCCGAACGGGCCACCTATGGGTCCTGGAGGCCCGGACCATTTTCGTGGTAAGCCACCGAGCGGCCCTAGTAGATCCAGTCACGATGGACCCAAAGACCCTAACGAGCCAGCATTCCTGGAGAAACTCGTCGTGGGAATCGAAAACGACAACGACTTTGGTGTAACGCGTCGCATTATTGGACCTGCCGGGTCGAACATGAAGCGCATTAGTGTAGAAGCCGGTGGGAATGCCAAGATCCGCGTCCGTGGTCGTGGCTCTGGGTCGAAGGAAGGAGGCCCAGAAGAGGCAGATGAACCGCTGATGATTCTGGTGTCTGCGGAGAACGAGCGCAGCTTCCGTATCGCGTGTTCATTGACGAGTGAGCTGCTTGCTGCGATCCACCGAGACTATCAAATGTTCCAGCAACACGGACCGCCCCAACACTTCCGTGGCGGTGGTCGAGGCCCTCCAGGTCGTGGCCACCATTAGTGATCTAGTGACGATCCTAGCACGCAACAACCACAAGCAATAAACGTAAATGTCACCCAAAGATATTGTATAAACTGGAGCGTAGCGTCTTGCTGCGTTCGTAGCTTACAGAACGCGCTTGGACGGCAGCACATTGGAGATGGACTGTGCGTACGACATCAGCCGCTTTACAGAGGTGAGATATTTGCGCTGGGACTCGTTGTTCATGACATGTGCCTGTTTGTTCGAGTTGATCTTCTCTCGACCGGTACGTTCGTGGATACCCACCATGGTAACACCGATGGGCCATGCCGCGTTGCCGATGGCCAGCTTGATGTAGGCGTCATTCGCCATCACGAACTCGCCCTGCCGACAAAACTTGACAATTTCTACCAGAATCGGCAGGATATCGGACGGCACTTGTCGGTGCTTGCAGAGCTTGAACAGTGGACGAATGTAGTCCTTACACTGCTTCATAGTCTTGACCGCGATCTTGCCTTGAGCTGTGCGCTTCACATGGTCCGGTCTGCTAGCCAGATCCTTCTCCCACCTCTGCAACATGCCCTTAAAGAATCGGTACACCATTTTATCAGCATCTTTCTCCTCGTCCTCTTCATTTCCGCCCCCTGTCTTGCTCTTCCCGCCATCCTCTGCGGTGTCTGCGATGTCAAATTCTTCAGCGTCTTCCGCCGCGTCGTCCGCTGTATCTTTCTGGTCTCCATGCACACCACCGTCTCCACCGACGAAGCGGTTGCGAATATCATGGCCTGCTCCCAGCTCCACCTCGTGTTTGGTGACAGCATCCATCTCCGCTCGGCGGAGACGCGTCATGCGATCCTTCATACTCTCACCAAAGAGAGTGATGGGCTCGCCCAGTTCTCGCAGCCGTCGACGCAGATCTGGCCATGACAAGACAGCCTGGCTCTCTTCCTTCACTTGTGTCTTGTCATCGGTACGTTCTGCAGCTGCTTCCTGCGCTTGTTGACTGCTGCCGGCGCTCTCAGTCTTCTGGTCCAGTTTGCGTTTCTTGGACGGAGCCTCCTTCGCTTTCTCCTCTTCTTCAAGCAGTGACTCCACCTCAGCGCGACGCAAATACTTCTCTTTCTTGCTCTGTCTCTTCTCCTTAACTACCGAGACCTCCCGCTTCTTGGCGGCCATCACCCGCATTAACGCCTCCATGCTCAGCCGCTCCAGCAACGTTGGCGCGAATGTGTATACAATTATCCGAAATAAAATGAAAGTAATTTATATAATTTTGTTCAAACAATTTGAAATGCTACAGAAAAACTACCGGTAGGAGTTTCAAATTACAAAACAAAAAACAAAACTCTTGAAGTGACCATCATTCTTTCTTAAATTGAAGCGGCGTCACCACTTTGCCATCATGATGATGTCCCTGCTAGAGAAGGAGGCGCGCGACCCGGTGGAGGTTTTGCGGGTCAAGCTCAAGGACTCGACGTCCACGTCGCTACTCAACTCGCAGCTGGTAAATCACGCGGGTGTTTGATCTGTGAACAAAGCCATAAAAACACAAGAATTAACGTAGTTTGGAGGCAGCTGCAAGAGATCAAGGGCGACTACATGGCCAAGCAGGACAGCACCACGGGGCAGCTGGCAGGCTTCGTGCAGGCCCAAGTGGACGAGATCGAGCGAGCCAGCGCGTTGCTGGAGCTGGAGACGCCAGTGAAGCAAATTGTCACGAATCTCGACGACTTGGGACTGAACTGTCGCCGCATGAACGAGGAGCTCGGAGAGAAGAAAGTTTCTTCGTCTGGTGTGAGTATCGCTCGACGGAACTTGAAGGAGCTGGAGCACCAGATGGTGCTCTACGACGAGCTGCCAAAGAGCGTGCAAGCACTCCACGATGCCTTAGACGGAGGACTCACGAGCTTCGTGGACGTCTACACCAAGTGGCAGGAAATCGATGACTGGAGGCAGAAGATGCTCCACGAGGTGCGTTAAGAAACTGTGTTAGAAACGGCTGAATGGTGCTTATTAACGTCTTGGGTTTGTGTAGCTAAGTGTCGCTGCAGTTGAGAAGAGCGACGAACTCGGGAACAGGTAAATGCTTCGGTTTCTACATATTTTACGCTTCAGAAGACTGAGTTTTAGGCTGTGTTCTTACGTTTAGCAAAGCTCAGGCTCGTGTAATGGCGTCCATGGGGTCCAGATTGAGTGCTATTGAGAGCGTGCAAAGGCGCATCTACGCTGAAGTATGGGGATGCATGCACCACTGTGTGGAAATCGCGCAGTATGGCAAACAGCGACTCACGGACGCGTTCCAAGTGCTTGATAGGATGGAAACACGCCGTCTGCGCTTTGTGGACTCGAAGAAGGACGTGTATCTGGACAACCAGCTGAAGCCTGTGGCTGAATTCAACATAACAATTCGGGAAAGATGCAGGACTGAGGTCATGACGTCACTTGCAAAGCGTATCGAAGGCATTTTCCGCGCTGCAGAGAGCGAGGCTGAGGCTAGTAACAAAGATTTGTTCACTCCGGTGCTTGAGGCTGCGACTCAGTTGATGGTGGACTTGGAAATCGTGCAATCCGACGTGGCGCCGTGCTTTCCGAGCGAGATCGATGTGGTCCATTTGTTTACGAGCACATACAACGCACAACTTGATAACGAGATCACCAAGCTCAGCGAGCGACCCGACGTGGGGATAGCTCAGCGTCTCCAGATTGTCCAATGGATCGACTATTACAACACGGAAATCATCAAGTACAAGCATTCACGAGCGTCAATTGTACTGGACAGAACTTCCCAGGAGCTCATGGAGGGTTATCTCGACGAGATTAAGGTTCAAATCCACACGTGGATAACCAATATCTGGAGACGAGACGAGGAGTGCATTGTGGGGCCACAAGGAGGGCTGCAGTCAACTCGTCCCAACGACATTGTGAATATACTAAAGTCGCAGATCTCGATCGCGCAGGAGTGGCTGAGTGGGCGATTGGTGGGGTGCGTCGTCGCAGCATGTCTGCATGTGCTCATGGAGGAGTTAAAGATCCGGTACGACAGCATCGCTGGTAAACTGGAGACGGTGGATGCAGAAATGCTGTGCACCTTCATCAACGATGCAGAGATTCTACAGGTATGAAGCGAAGTTGAAGCTTGAGAGAGAGAGAGAAAAGAAAACTGCTAATTTCTTTGACAGGCAAAATGTCCAGAATTGGTCGAGGAGATTTCGTTCGCGGAAACGGATTCGGAAGAGAAAGAGGCGTTCGACACGTTCATGGGAGACAGTTTGGACACCACGTCAACTGACATTGTCGCCTTTGCCACGAGCGCTTGTGACCTCATTGTGAGCAAGATTTTCCACGAGGTGGAGCAGGTACGGAGACAACGAACGCTTGAAGCGACTGTGTGGCTGTTAACGGTCTGTTGTTACAGGACACTACGAAAGTATGGTTCTCAAAGAAATGGGACGAAGGAGCTCCAGTGGTTGAGACGCTATTAGCCACGCTGGACGACTACTATCCTGACTTGAAAAAGTGGATCTTCGGCTCCTTTTTCTTCTCCAAAGTCGTTCGTCAGTGCTTGAATCGGTGCGTAAAAGAATACTGCGCGAGACTCATTCAACGCACCCAGCCCTTCTCCAACCCCGTCAGCACAGCTGCTACCGTCGACAACGACTTGCACGTAAGGACGCGCTTGGCTTGGGTCCATCTACTTGTACACGAACGAACTAACGCTGTGTGTGTAATAGAACTTTGTTGAGTTCTTCAACAAGTACAGCGCCGACCTCCGTCGCACAGGGATCCGCTCGGAGGAGGACATTAAAAGGGAGTTCACCTCATTGCAAGTGATTAGCTGCACCTTACGAGGAGAAGCTCCTCCAGACACTAGTCAAGAAACGGGGGAAATATTGCGTCAAGTTATCAAACTGATCAAAACCACGTCCACGCAAGAAGCGTCGGGGCACAAGGCAAAGGACAAACCGGTGAAGGAAGCAAGTGTTAAGAAGAAGCGCTTTGGTGCCATCTCGAAAGGCAAGAAGAGCAAGACCAAAGATAAGGCTGATGCAGCTAAAGCGGGGGCTTCGGAGGCTGGAAAAGAGTCGAGCTCGCGTGCAAACTCCTTCACTCAGCACGACGAAGACGGCGACAGCTTTACCGTACAGAAACTGGATAAGGCCTCGTTTTTGGGCAACTGAAAAGACTGCAAAGGGGTTCGATGGCTGTGGATTTTCAAATTCCCTGTGCTGATCCCTTTTCTTCTCTTCAAAGTGTTTGCAATCGCAGCTCCAATTGCAGATACAGTTCCTTCTCTGTGAAGAGATGAATGCGCTTGCGTTTCGGGTCCATTGGCTTCTGATAAAGCTCCAGCACAGCAGGTCCGTCTTTGATCTCGTCCATCTCGAGTAGCGCCCAGCAGCGACAACTTTTTTTACGCTTCTTGGCTTTGTAGTGGAAGAACTCAAAGGTAATGGCAGCTCCGTCTGAATGGTGAAAAAGGGAGAGGTGTCAGAGTATAGTTTTCAATTTGGAGGAGGCCTACAAACCGACGTACGATCCTCCATCTTCCTCAAATTTGTGGCCAGCTGAATGTTGGTATTGAACGTCACATACTGCGGCTCTTTGCATTCCCCCACTCCCGTCTCACGGGTCTCCTCCATGGCTTTACCACTGTAGTCTACCAAGGAACCAGGGTACAAGTCATGAGTTGATCACTACAGTAGACCTCTACAAGCTGCAGACTCACCGAAGACAGAGACGGCCATGGTCGGGTTGACGTAGACACTGGCGTCTTTCAGACCGATTTTGGTGATCCGGATGTCCAGATACGTAGCTCCAGGAGATCGCAGCACTGCAACCTGCGTCGTTGCGTTCACCAATTCGGCTGCAGCACATTCGTCCAGGTCGGTATCTCCCCCAACGTCTTTCGCTTTGTCCATCGAGCCGCGAGTCTTGGCCCTCATCGCTCGACTGACATCAAGCGGGAACACCTCTGGCTCGTCAGACAGCGCCTTGCAAAGAGCTACACCAAAAACGGTATTAGCTGGAAACCCTCATTGTGAGCTCTGTAATATCTTCACACCTTCCAAGACATCTTCCATGTCTTCCTTTGTAGGCTTCCGTTGGCCATCGACCGAGCTCAGACACTTAACTCGCATCTCCATTGACACGATAACCTTCTCAATAGTTTCCTGATAAAAAAACATTATTTTTTTTATTAAATTCGCCAGCCATGGGAGCTCCTTTTCACGCTTTACCTTTTGCACTTCTGTAAGACGTTGACAAGCTGGTAAAGCTTTCGTGACCCGACCAGCCAGTCTGCAAAACGAGCTCCAAGTAAGTAAAAACCAATCTGCATAAGGCTGAAGTATTGACGAACCGTTCGTAAGCTTCGACTGCTTCAAGCACTTGACCCCACGCATCCGTGTCAACTGCTTGCTGCAGACTCTTGCACCAGGCTGCGTGGAGCTTCAAGACGTCCTCCATCTCGTCTGCTTGAGGTCGCGACATCTTGCCGACAAAACCGTTTTCAGAGAGGTCGAATAACGCTCAGAACGTCAATGATATCTTTATTACAGTTTGTACATGGTTTCTAAGTCCATTGTTGTTGTTGTTTCGATACCTGTCTTCCTCACGGCAATGCGCGCTTTGCAAGTTGACGATGCAAACGCATCCACCGAGCATGGAGTAGCTGTTTGCGGAGTTCTTCTTCAGGCAAAACATGAAGCAAAAAGTCCACGAGATACGTAGCACCTTCGAGTCCGAAAGCCACCTCCAGATACTGCATGAAAAAGCGAGCTGTAGTTCGTCCCTTGCCGAACTGACGAGCTTGTCGCTGGAAGAGGTAGAACAGGTTGGGATTGTGTTGGCAATCGTCCCAGACTGCATCTAAGATGGCTGAATTGAGGGAGTCTGCCACGTCAAAGTCAAACGCTAAGGCCAAGGCGTCCGCTCCACTGGAAAGCGTTCGCTCGATCTCCGCCATAAAGCGCCGATCCATCTCGTCGACTCCTTGCCACATTCGTCTCCGTTGTCGCTCTGTCATCACCATCTCCTCTTCGCTTTCCACGTCTGGCATTATGCCCGGTACGAGACGTTCTCGTTCAGCCAACAGATAAAACCCATTGACACACACGAGGGTAGGGAGAATGTAGCCAAACGTCATACTAACCCGACCACCTTTGCGAATCGACCGGAGACCAGCAAGTGGCAGAATATTCTGCTCCGACCCCTCGTGATCATTCGTAACCAGAAAGATGGACAGATCCAGCATCGTAGCCAGCAGCACGAGCTCCAGTGCGCCCACACGTAGTTGTCGTCGAGATTTAAACTCGTGAAGTCTCTTCTTCAGATCCACAGCAGAAGTTCGGAAATGTCGTTCCAGTGTGTGCACATGAAGCAGTCCGAAGTTCGCCAACGTTTGACGTAGCAGCTCCACACCTACAGACAGCTGTAGATGGTCATTTGCAAGAGCATCTGTAGCTTCCCGTTCCGACGTTCCATTCGGCTGTGTTGTCTTCACTGGGAACCCCGTGAGTGCATCGTACAATCGCTTGTCCAAGTCGTTAAGCTGCTGCAATTTATACAGCACACAATACAGCGCAGTGAGTGCGCCTTCCGGGGGTGCGTACGTTTGTTTGAAGCCGCGAAGACGCAACATGCGCATCATTTTGTTGTGTGTGACTCGGAAGGGCGACACTCGGCAGGCACACTCGTACTTAGTGCACATGGCCATGTTCCGGGACTTGTCGTCCATGAGGTTGGCTTGGAGCTCGTCCAGTTTGGCGTCGTCACTGCGTCGCTCCTGCATCCGCGACGGTCTCCGCTGTCGGATCAGCTGTTCGCTGTCTCTGTCCTCGAATTCCTGTTCGAACTCGATCCCCTCCAAGGCGCTGTACTCACTGCTGTCCACTGTCCCCATTGTACCGTTCATTCTTCCTTTGGCGTCTTCGTCTCGATCTCTGTAGTCCAGACACAAGACGCAACTCTCGAACTGGTTGGGTAGTACCGTCGTCTCGGCTGTGATTAAACCCACATCAAAGTTGCAAAAGCATCGCAACACCAGCGGCGCTCGGGGGTCCAAGAACCTCGTGAGTCTCAAGTGTGAACTGCTCAGTAATCGCTCCAAATAGTCGTTAAGTTCGGCACAGCGTTTAGCGAGAAACTTGGCACTGCGATGTCGACGTAGCCATGTTCGTCTCCGATGGGGCGGAGGTGGTGCCAGTAGCTTCATATCCTGAGGAAATGCATGTCGTAGTTGTGCATCGAGACCCTGGAACTCGTGGAAACTACGGAAGACTCTCCATGAAGCCTGTAATTGAGTTCCTCCATGTCGGACACTGCGGAAAACCACGCGTGTGGCCAACAGGAATTCAGGTTGTGTCATTAGTGAGCTGTCGAATTGAGAGCCGTCGATGTGGACGCGCACCTGCAGAATTGCAGTCACATCGTGCACTGCAAGACGCATAGAAAAAGTGTAGTTATCGATGATTCAGTGCTATTTTTTTTTCAATTGACACCTGCGGTCTGTGCAGCTAATTGGCAACTGTGGTTTGACGGCGGTGGAGTCAGCGGGCAGATGGCTGCATGGTGCTGTGTGGGACCTAATCAGATGGACTATCTGCTCAGCTACAAAGCCACTTAGACAGGTGATACATTGATAGAGGTTGTTTATTTTTAAAACACAAGTCCGGAGCCTTTATCGCGGTATTCGATGTCAGAGACTGCCTTTTTACAATCGCTCCAAAGGACACAGCCATCTCTGCCGTTACACTCGTGTCAAAACCGGCGACAGGCTCCAAAACCGAGCCACGATCAAGGAAGTTGCGAAGGTCGGCGCTGAAGCAAATCGAGCGCCGACACGCAGCGTTGTAATACTGCAAGAGTAAGCTATCCACTGACGGTAACAAGCTGCAATTAGTCGTTTCCAGAGTGAATCCACATCGAGAACTTAAGATTCGGGATACCGAAAGGGTCGGACCTCCACGAAACGCTCTGCCATCTTTGCACGGAGCCCTTCCGCTATAATCCACGTCGCGGTGCCACATGGTCTACCACACTCACGTCGCAGGTTGCCGCATATTGAGTGTCCAACAGAGACCAAAATTTGCTGCTGTCGTCTGCTATGCGAAGCCAGCCGAGTAGCTGGACAGATGCTGCTCACTCGATTTAATTGCGCTCGTCGCAACCTTTATTATTGGCGCTTTGGACACAAGCCTTTCGAAACGGGGTCTCCGATAGACGATCAACTAATACATGTATTGTGCTTTGACCAATGTCTTTGGAGACACCGAACCAGTCACAATGGATAGAGTACATGTCTGCAAACCCGTCTCCGTTGAAGTCATACGAATAGAACACTAATAGCATCAAGACATCTTCTCGAGGCATAGAGCGCCAACTTGTCCACTCATGATAAGGATTAGAATATCCAAAATTAATACCATGGTACTCACTAACTTTCCTTGAAGATAATTGGGTACAAAAGGTAACTCAAATTTTGGCGCGGAAACTGACGCAATGGCGAGTCTGTCGGCAAGCGAGACCGAGTTCCTGGTGTGTCCAGTCACGAGACCTTTCTAGCAAGGTGGTCGCTGCTTATCTGTTCGTTCGTGCTCGTGTCTACCCAGGCGGAGCAGGAACTCATCCTCATCATGCCGCAGTTCCACCTGCGTGACAACAATGGCATGCTCAACTTCATTGGCGTACGTAACCCATAATTGCCAAATTAAATAATGGACAATTTTGACAAATTGGGTACTTTTGCGCAGGGCAACTTCGGACCCTTCCAGCCAGGAATTACCACCCACGTTCCGCTATGGCTAGCCATCATGCTCAAGCAGCTAAACAAATGCCGAATCCTACCACCCTCGTGGCTCTCTGTCGGTAGGTGAAAATGTACTCAGAGCGCTCGAAATGGGTACTTTTAATTTTTAATTATTTACCGTTTCCACAACAATTGCTACAGACTACCTAACGTCGCAACTGGAACGTGAAAAGAAGAGTGAAGTGTTTGAAGAACTTCCTTTCCACTACCTGGAGGTGGCGTCGCTGCTGCTGAAGAAGTAAGTTTTCGATACTCCCACTGTCATTTTTCTTTTCAGGTTTAGCTCACATGTTGTGTTTGAATGTAGTGCACCCGACGATTTGGACCAGGGAGAGCACTTGCGCTCGCTATTGGAAGACCTGCAGAACGTGCGACAAGACAAGATCCGCAACGGTCTGACCAAGATCGCCACCGACGTGCAGGGCGGAGGCACAGCTCTGGCCATTCAGATGAACAACATTTCCGCGCTTGAGATTAATTCGATGCGTGAATTCATGCTTGGGGTACGCTTGTTCCATCGATATGGATACATGGAAACGTTGTCGTGTGTTGACGTTGTGTGTGTGCTCTGCAGTCCCTGAACCAATTCTACCAGCTCTCACAACTCTCAGCAGAAGCTCGTGCGTTTATACGATTGTATTCTCAGACGACGCGGCCTGGCAATTACGCTGAACTTGGTGGCTATGATGCGTATTTTACACAGGTGACGACTTCTCCCAATCGCAGTCGCAATCGCAATCGCAGTCCCAAGGAATCTTGGAGTCCTCGTCAGGTATGTCGGTTTGGCATGTTGCGATGTGCCAATGTGGCCTAACGATTTGCCATTCATGTGTTCGAACAGCGGAAATGCCTGCAGCGCGTCGGCTTCTTCGTCGGCATCGTGGATAGTGACGCACGCGAGTGTGTATCAACGACACTGTTCCTGATACTTGCAAGCGAGGGGTCAACAACTGATAGGGTATTACTGGAAAGTTTTATATTTGCAGCGTTGCGCACCTCCAATAGCTCATGGGGGCCGTGCATACTTGTCGTAATGGCAACGTCTAGTCGATCCATTAAAACTTCAAAATTTCTCATGAAAATGACGAACTTACGTAGGGGTATCTGACATGTTAGAAATTGAAATGGAGCTGGCACCTCAAGAGCATGGAGCTTATAACGCTGAGTCCACGCAAGTCAGATCGTCATGTGCTTGAACTGTCCCCTACTGGGCTGCTTCCAAACTAACGTTACTTTACTGATGGTTGTTGGTATCCGCAACCTAAAAATTAATCGTCGTTTTTCGTTGTGCGGTTGAGCGTTGGGTGCACCCAATTGTGTCCAGGAATTCTTCGACGATATCTGCGTACACACGGTGGCTGGAGGCTTCAAAAGGCAACGGTGGGAAGGAGTTGCATCCAATACTAATGCAAAAATGGCGACGCCTGTATTTGTTGTCGGCGGCAGCTTTCCCAATGAGCTGCGCCTCGACGACGTTTACTACTTATTCACTATGACGCTCTGCGTACATAAGGGGGATACAGGCATTTATTTTGCTCTGTGGACTTGGACTGGCAGCGCTTGAGAGGACTAGAACGATGAAGGGCCCTACCGATGCTTGCCTCCTGATTTCCTCTTGCGCATTTTGCCGTCCTTGCTCTTGTTCGATTTCTTCTTCTTGTTGCTCGACTCGAACTCTCTTGTCTCCAACATTGGCACTGCAGCGAAATCGAGTTGGGCTTGTGCCTGCTTCTGCAGCTGTGAGAACGGGGTGGGCACTGGCACAGGGTTCACCATTATGACGTCTGGGTTCTTCAGCTGCAAAGCTTCCGCTGCCGCTCGTTCCCGCTCCCGTTTGTCTTCCTCCGCTGCTGCCACGCAACACACGCCACACAGCACGGCGCACACCAAACATCCGCAAACATCCTCGGCGTCACTCATTCGGAGGTCTGTAAAATAACTTGATAGTAAACGCTAGACGCTTTGCAGTCACGTGCCACGTCGCCGGTAGGTTGGGTAATGCCACCCGAACATGTAGTTGCGTTGCTGCTCAAACGACAGTCGTTCGTTCAGAACGAAAAGCTGGGAGCTTTAACCCGCGAGATGGTTTTGGAGTCGGACGATAGAAACGGCGTGGATAATGACGCATCCCAAAACACAGACCGTGTCGGTGCGTGAATCAAGATCACCATGCAACACCGCGCTCGGCAACAAGGCAACAATGGGGGAAAGCTAGGAAGAGTTCGGTTTAAGGCTGAACCTCTCGCGTCTCTTCAAGATCCGCACCTTAAGCGTACTTACCAAGTTCGCACATAACCGAGCACTGATAATACCTTTTTTCGTTTTTCATTGGCCACGATGCCATTTTGTCAAGTGCCCATTTGCAACCATGGCGGACGGGAATCTGTGGCGCGACCGCAACAAAGTGTTCGTGGCGGGTTTGCCAGTGCACGTGGACGACAATGCGCTGTACGAGAAGTTTAAGCCGTTCGGCGAGATGCACCAGTCCAAGGTGGTGTATGACCAGAAGACGGGTCGCTCGCGTGGCTTCGGCTTTGTCACTTTTTGCGAATACACCAACGCTCTTGACGCCGTGGATCAGCTGAACCAGTCGAAATGGGAGAAACGAACACTCAATGTGCGCTTTTTGCAGCCAAAAAATGGGTCCGACGCAGGCGGAAATGGAGCAGCTGCCATTGCGAAACGACCGACGAAGGTCATTGGCCCTCGCCCTGAGGGATGCACCACTATATACGTTGGCAATCTGGCGTACGATATCACAGAAGAGGTGTTGCGGAAGGTGTTTGACAAATGTGGCAGTATCCGCGCTGTCCGCTTTGCCGAGCACATTCAAACGAAAGAGTTTCGAGGCTTTGGCTATGTGCAATTCCACGAGGAAGGGCCGTGCGAAGCGGCCGTCAAGCTGGACGGCATGGTGGTTATGGGACGACCCATGAGCATTGACTACGGAGCGAGAGATGAAGGATACGCGCAAGCGCGAGAAGAGCTGCAAAAGAAGCTGAAAAAGGGAGTTTGCCACAAGTTCCAGCAGGGGCAGTGTACGCGCGGAGACGCCTGTAAGTTCGCCCACGTAATGCAAGACCAGGACGCCGAAGAGCTGGTGCAGCCAGCGGAACGACCGGTGAGTGGAATTGCCACTCCCGGTGCTTCGTTGGGCGCAGTCGAGTCAGAATCGACGGGGCCAATGACAGAGCAGACTCAGGCAACATCAGATGCGCCGGTTTGCATCAATTTCCAAAAAGGAAAATGCAAGCGCGGGGCGGCGTGCAAATTTCAACATTTGCATGGCAATGGAAATGATGAAATGTCACTGGAAGAAAATGTGAAAATGGAGACGGTGAGGCAGGACGCGGCTCCTGAGGAGGAGGAGACTCAAGCTGACGAAGGAGCCCCCGTGTGCGAGAACTACCAGAAGGGCAAGTGCAAACGTGGAGCAGCATGTCGATTCCGCCACGTTGCTGCACCAGCTGAAGGTTATCAGGAGCCTGAGGAGGAAAGCTGGAAAGCTCCAGCTCGAGTGGCACTTCCAGTTGCTGCAGTTGCCGAAGTGGCGGTGTGTAGGAACTTCCAGAGGGGGTCATGTATGCGCGGCGCGTCATGCCGCTTCGCACACACTGGTCAGGCACCACAAGCGGCTCCAGCAACGGCAGTGGAGGAAGTGAGCGAGTACCAGAAGCGATTCCAGAGCGTTTGCTACAACTGGCAAAGCACCGGATCCTGTGCACGCGGAGAGAATTGCCCCTTCCAGCACGATGGTGCTTTTGAGGAAGTGGAGACGAAGAAGATCAAGCAGGAGGCGGTTGAAGCAGTTGAGAGTGAAGATGATAGCTCGAAAAAGCATAAAAAACACAAGAAGGACAAGAAGCGAAAAACGACTGAAGATGACGACGAGAAGAAACTCAAGAAACACAAGAAGGAGAAAAAACACAAAAAGCACAAGAAACATGCAGAATAGAGAGACTACTGTACGTATTCGGGATCCTTAGACAGTTAGCCTTGATAGAAGACACACCTGATACCTTCATCCTGCTGGGTTTGCGTCCTTCTTTACGTTTTGATCACCATGGGAGCGTCGGCATTGAAGAACTTGCCCGAGTTTCCAAGAGACAGTGTGGCCACATTGCCAGTTATGGCTGCAGCAGCATTGAAAGGCTTGATCCCACCCTGATGGTTGCTCATGTCCGTGGCTACGTAGCCAGGATTCATGGTCACGACTGCGACGTTGCTCTCGCGCAGATCCATCGCAAGCGAGCGAGTGACCATGTAGAGTGCAGCCTTGTAGCCAGGATTCATGGTCACGACTGCGACGTTGCTCTCGCGCAGATCCATCGCAAGCGAGCGAGTGACCATGTAGAGTGCAGCCTTGTAGCCATAGTTGCCTTTAATTGTCTCCAGATCAATGTGAAACCAGTCTTCCCAACTACTTCAAAGTACTATTTAGGAAATAATGTTACTTCCTCTGGTCGGAAATGATCACGCGAAACTGACAAAATGACCAATCGCTTCAGCTCTATTTATCCAATACGGCATCTGATTGGACCAAACGGAAGCCCTGCACCTCCTCTTTTTAAAGCCACCGGGTGTGTTTGTCTGTGATCTCTGTGCTACCCTGTTTCCATTGCGGGTCTGCCGGCATTAATCCGATAATTACTTTTGTATTTATGGGCAAAACAAAAAAATGGTGTTTGGTTTTATCTTGCCAGTACAATACATGTAGATCTCATACCATTCGCACCGATACCAAGGAAAAAAATCATCGGTCTTGAGGTAATAAAACTAACGACATCAATCTGTGGAATTTCAAGCTTACTTAAGTACATGTACACTGCAGGTAGCTGAGTTATGAACCTTACAATTGCGAAAGTGTTTCCGTAAACCAGTGAAACCGGGATTAAAGCTTTTTGCTTGTGGTTAAAATACTTGGCGCAATGTCCTTCGGTTAACCAACCCAGTTGCAATGTGTTATCACTTTACTATTCCAGGGCAAGAAGAATCAATTCACTAAAATTGCCGATGCTCTTGAGGACAAATTGAAAATCTAATGGTTGAGGTTGCAGATTAGATAAATTAATACGAATTCTATGCTCAGCTCTTCTAAGTGTGTCTAAAATTTGACTCGGCTCAAAACTGTAGCAATGCCAGGCAGCGCCGGGGCCATCTTCTTCAGTTGCACGTTGCAAAAATTATAAAGTAATTCACAAAGTGGTAATCCACTCGTGCTGAAGCACTTGCGACGCGCTGATTCGTTTCTCCGGGTCCACCGTCAACATGCGGCGGATGAGGTCGCGTGCACTGTCGGACATGCAGACCCAGCCCACCGACTCGCAGTCGAATTCTCCCTTAAGAATCCGCTGCTGCAGTTCATCGTCCGTTGCATCGTCCGTGGGGTCGAACGGGTGAGTGCCACAGAGCACAATGTACAGTACGACGCCAAGCGCCCAGACGTCCATGGCACAGCCGGAATCCTGGTGTCCCATGACCTCAGGCGACGCGTATGCCGTCGTGCACACATCCATCTTGTGGCCATTACTATCGTGAAGACGAAACGACTGTCCAAAGTCAATGAGCTTCATCTTGTCGTTTGCAGCAGAATATTTTCTGGCTTCAGTCCGCGTGCACCACGCGCTTCGAGTGCAAGTACTCAAGTGTCACAGCCAGTTCCCGCACGAGGTCCTTGGCTCGTTCTTCTCCGAAGACGCCATTTGCCACCAGATCATCGTACAATTCTCCGCCCTGCACCAGTTCCGTGAGCAGTACATAGGCGTCCGAAGTCTCGAAGGCTTCGCGCATTTCCAGCACGTTGTGTGTACCGCCAACTTGCTTAAGGATATCCACCTCCTGCATGAAGTTTTCCTTTGTCGTGAGTTGTTTCGATACACGCTTAATGGCAACGCGGGCATTGGAGGCGCGGTGGCGTCCTACGTGCACAAGACCGAAGCCACCTTCGCCAATGACGCCCTCAAGGTCGTAATCCTGTTGCAAGCGACTGCGTGTTAGGCGCCATGAGTCCATGTGGCGCTCACTTGCGCGCTGCTGCTTGAGTGCGGTTGTCACGGCGTGTGGTACCATGAGGGAGCTGCCCATACCCATGCCCATGGGTCGACGCGCAGCATCAAGGCGCGCTGTTTCCTGCGTGTAGCCGCTGCAGGCCGCAGCAGCGGCGCAGACAGCGGCGGCGCCCGCCATGCGACGCGGTAGGCGCATGAAGCGCTTGCGGGAGCGATCGTTGAAGGCCATTGGGACGGCAGATTTTACTGAACCGTAATGTCGAGTGTGTCCGAGCTAGCAAAACACGGAATGACAACGGGAAAAGGCAACAAACTGACAGCGATCGCCAGCCAATCCTCTGGATTGAAACACCTACCCCTGAACCAAAAAAGTCTTTTATGTCAGACACGAGCGTGGCATAGACAATAGGACGACTGGCACTTGCAGTCGATTTTCTGCCGAGGACGATGTGTTGCCAGCAAAAATAGCACCAAGTGGTGCTTTCCAAAGCAATCGTGCCTGCATTTGGTGCGCACGTGATCGGGGAAAGGGACAGCAGCAACGTGGTACCTCGGTGACGCAGGCGAGGTGGCCTTTCTGCTTCGTCGCAGGTTTCTTAAAAAAAAAGGCCGAGTTTCGCATTCACGAGAGCGATGCTCGAGTGCACTTGAACTCTGCGACTTGCATAAGCATTCCCAATCCAATTTCGTGCCCGAGCGCTTGCATCGAGAAGGAAGACTTCATCGTGCGATCGGACCTGAGAAATACGTCGCTCCGGAGGAATTCAGCCACCCAACATCCAGTTCAGATTATTACCGCACTGAATGTTTGAGAAGCAATATGAGTGAAGTCTGCACTCGCTGCCCTGCCATACAAGCGTAACGCTGTTTTATTAATTAAAAAATACGACAAGGGAGCATCTTATGGTTCTGTACATGATAGCAATTCTGCATACGAAAGCCTCGTTAACTGTGCGTGTTGGTGAATCGGCGAAAAAATATTGTTCTATTTTTCAAGGGAACCCTTGCGAGTCGCAATGTGACGCAGTACAGTATGCTAAACGTGTTTTCAATTGAAACGCATGTGATTAAAGTTGCAGCCAGTCGTCATTGCGGCGTGAAACTCGTTGGGCCTCCGAGCCTCGTTCATGCATTCTAATATTGTGCCGTGCGCTGCCCGGGAAGCTCTGGATACATATATTACCGGTATTGAAAATATTGTTCTCCTTCGTTGTTGAAGTCGCTCTCCACGTCTCACTTAACAAGAGGGTTAAACAAGGTGGTAAAAAATTGAAAGTAGGAAAAACTGAACGAATTGTAATTATGCATCGAAATACTTGGGACACGGCAGAGGAGAAGGGGAGGGGCGCTGGCAGCGGCTTCGCACCAACTTCCTTGCTGCACTACATTTATTGAAAACTTACAAATTCGTAGTCATTTCCAATCAGCCGGTACGGATTCGTTGTCCTGAGTGTTTTTTTGCTTACTAACTGCTCTTATGCTTTACATGTGGCATATTTAGCACCTTATTTTTAAAACTAGACACGATTGCTTATTAATATACTGCTTTTAATTAAATAGGTCACTTGTAAATCTATTCAGAGAGGGATTAATATTTGAGACAAGAAGTATGGCTGCACAGTCTCAAATTTAGACTGTGCAGCCGATGCACAGTCTCGGCTATATTATGTTCTCTTCGCGCAGATTAGGCTAGCACGTTAGCGACCAAAACAAGTGCATTTTCGGGTACAAGAGCGTATGAAAAAACCAGAGTGATTGTCGGTGAGTGTGGCGGCAACTCGACTTTTTTAACTTATCTAAGCACCACTCAAGCGGCTTCACCGCGGTGTTCGCCTCGCCGCAATGTCACTCCCTGCTTCGTAAAGCCTTTCATATGTATGCACACCGGTCGATATCATTCTTTTTACAAAGAATCATTGACAAAAAATAACTACAATAAAACGCTTACAGGGACGATAATATAAGACTTAAGTATCTGTACCGGAGA